CCCCCATAGCTAGCAATCCAAAACAGTCGAGTAGCACCTTTAAGACCAAGTTTTATTCAGGTACAAGCTCTCCCTCCTCTGTGAGGACAGATCTGCACGCCCCCCCCCAATAGCTAGCAATCCAAAACAGTCCAGTGGAGCCTGAGTGGTGGGTGCTGCCTTCTGACACACTTCCGGTGATGTCAGGGGGTGTGGTATATGCAAATAAGTTATGCTAATAACTTATGTTAATGAGCCCCCTGCACCTCTTTTTCTACGAAATGACCCCTGCTTCTTCACCCAAAGAGTAATTAACACATGGAATTCACTGTCGCAGGAAATGGTGGTGGCTACAAGCACAGACAGCTTCAAGAGGGAGCAGAAGTCCATCAGTAGCTATTAGCCACAAGGTATTGATGGAAAAGTCTGCCTGGGGCAGTGATGCTCTGTATTCCTGGTGCTTGGGGAGCAACAGTGGGTGGGCTTCTGGAGTTCTGGCCCTGCTGGTGGACCTCCTGATGGCACCTGGGTTTTGGCCCCTGTGTGACACAGAGTGTTGGACTGGATGGGCCATTGGCCTGATCCAACATGGCTTCTCTGATGTTCTTATGTTCTTCTGCATGCAAAGCAGATGCCCTGCCACAGAGCCACAGCCCCTCCCCAGTGCACCCTTGATGTCTGTCCATGAAACTGGCCAACCTCACAAACACTTCTTGAATGCACTCCACTGACCACACAGGTGCAAACAGCAGGCAACACACTGTGTCTAACGCCATTCATTTAAAGGATGTGTGTGGCTGCGCAAGAGTGAAGAAGGACCAAACTGCAAGCAAGTCCATGCTTTATACAAGCCAGGCAGTTTCAGGGTTCCAACAACCATGAGCCCAGAGTATATGTGTCTGGTAAAAGAGATCATGTAGTTCTTGGACCAGTCAAAAGCAAGTGCATGTGGCAGGAACCGACAGGCCACAACACATGTGCAAAGCTGCTTGGCACTATTTTCTCTCCCCAGGAAACAGCAAGGCAACCCTGCATGTGTAATCAGGGGAGTCTGGACAAGGTATGTTCGCCTGGCAAGCATGTTTGACGCAAACGTCCCAGCACATCAGAAGTGAAGTGAGGCTAGGTTTTGTGCCTTTACACAGCCAGCCAAGGTGTAAAACTATGTGAGTGCACGAAGCCTGTAGCACACACACACCCAGACACAAGAGCAGTGCATAAAGTCCATGCAAAACCATCAGTCAATATTTCCTTCTCTCTTTTCCCCCCTCTCCTGTTCACCTCAAGTCAGATATGACTGACCCTGGATACTCAGTCAGCAAAGTTCTTCAGACAGTGTTCCAAAACACATCCCACCCACCCCAAATAAAATACACCTTTCCCACTGTTTTAGGGAGAGTTTATACATTTAGATCGCCACTCAGGTTTCTAGCCCTCATGTGGCCAAAACTGTATGTTGTGTTGCACTTGTGGCAGCGAATCCTCTCCATGAATAGCAGCTGCATTCCTG